TTTAATTGTCATTTTGTACAGATTTGAATGTCACTTTGTACGAATTTAAATGACATTTTGTACGAAATTAAATGTCATTTTGTACGAAATTAAATGTCACTTTGTTCGAAATTGAATGTCATTCTGTACGAAATTGAATGTCATTTTGCACGAAATTAAATGTCATTTTGTACGAAATTGATGTCAAAAGGGATAGTATTGAAAGTTTTGCGTGTAATAAATGAATATGTCATAGTATTTTGTTCGATACAAAGCACATGAATAGTATGTAAAGAAATTTTAAGTGAACCAATTTTTATTATTTTATTATTATTTTATTAATATTATCATGACATTAATATGCGTATTCAGTATGACGAATAAATGATAAACCCAGTTTGACGCACCCAAAGTCAAAATTTAATTTACACGACTCAATTTTAAACCTACACCTATTCTAATCTAAAGTACGACGACATATATATTTTGTAATTTACTAAGTCAATTTAATAATTTTTCATATTATATTTAAAAAAGATTTATCTACATTTAAATGCTAGAAATTATGGTATATTAGCTTAATAAAAAAAAAAAAAATAGTTAGCTACGGAGGAAAAAAAAGATTTCATAATTATAGTAATTTAATAGTAATTTGCGAGTATGAAATACTATCCTTCTTAGGCGAATTTCCAATTAAAATGTTTTTAAATGACTCTGTTACTGTTCATTTCTTTATCATATAAGTCATTATCATTTTTATAATTTTTTTCAATCATTTTTCTATTTTTGTAACATTTTTTATAACACACGAAACATACGACAAGACTAGATAAAAAAGCTATACAACCAATGCTTATCGCAACATATGAAATTATTTTATACGTTGAGCTATTTCCATCGCCAGTCGAAGTATCACCCTGGTTATTTGGAGTTCCATCTCTATTTGTTGGAGTTCCCTGGCTTACTTTATTAAATGATGAGACCCAAGAATTATTTTCTGTATTTAAGATATAAATATTATTACTATATACATGTGGTTGCACATCAACTGGAAAGGTTTTTCGACCTGAAGAAATAAATATATACATTAAATAAATTTTTCATAGATAATTAAAAGATTTATCATTGAACACAATAATTACCGAATGCAATGATCATATAAATATCATATAAATTAGCAGTGTGACGAGACAGTGATGGTGGAGCATTTATAGTAGATATATTAGGAACAGACCATAGCCAAGTATTTGTATTTAAAATTGCAAGATCAGGATAGACTTGTAAATTATTTTTTCCACCACCAAAAATAATAATATTTCCATCCTTGACTATTAAAAAGAAATTAATTTGTTTTACAAAAATGTGCTTAATAATATTATTCAAATACATATTAATCTTGTTAACCTACTTAAAACTGCAGTGTGTCCGGCACGAGGTTGAATAGTGATACCACTAGCAGTCTTAAATGAAACATTATTACTACTTTATTACTATTATAATTCATACATATTATATCATAATAAGTTTATATATATTTACCTTATTAGACCAGCTCAAGGATCTTGTGTCAAATATAAGTATCTAAAATTTAAATAATATTAATATTATTCATGAAAAATAAATAATTGAATCATATCATCGACATACATCATTAAAATTAGCAAAAGTATATGCTGATGATGGTGTCAATTTAGTAAAACCACCAATATAAATAATAAGGCCCGTTGGTAACAATGTTGCACTATAATCTGTGCGAGGCAAAACGTTCGTGGGTAAAGTCAATGTAGACCAAGTCATTGAGGCAGTATCGAATAAACTCATTTCATAAAATATATTGCCACCGCCAGTTGAGTGGCCTGCATTATAATCAGTTCCACTAAAAATATACGATTTTCCCTTACTATCAATAACCGCACTAATCTCATTTCGGTTAATAAAAGAATTATTAAATTCATTAATAATTGGTATTGTCCATTGCAAATTTATAGGATCAAATTTATATACTGCTGTCGATGAGTTCATTCTTCCCCCAATTAAAAAAATTGTTGAATTATCTGGTGTACTAACACATGTACCCAAATTACCGCCAATCGGCATTCCGTTCGAAACTTTTTTAAATGGTATTGTGAAAATATCAAATGTATTTGATAAATCAATATAAAATACTTCATTAGAAGAGTTTGTAGTTTGTGTAACTCCACCAAAAAAATAAAGCTTGTCATTAATTAGAGCACTTGAAAGTTCGCCTCGGCCATCAGGAATGTCTTGACAGGTTACAAATGAATACGTCAAACTTAAAATAAAATAAATGCAAAGATTTTGAAAATTTTTCATATCGATTTAATTTACAAATTCATAAGCCTTGCTATTATCGTTGAGTTTTAAAACAATCACTCAGAACTAGTGATGCAGAAGAATTGCTTCCACACTCGTTTTTTAATTCCACGTATCGTGTAACTTTATAGGTAGTGTAAATTAATTGACTTAATTTGTGTAACGCTACCAGTATAATCACCTTGCATATGTAATGAGCATTGCATGTTTAAATTTTCTTTGTAATATTTCTATATTGTATAGTATTTGTATTTCTTACTATATTTGTTAGTGCTATTAATATGGTATGATTTAGAAGCACAAATATGGGTTTAGGACCATGAACTCGGTTTAAGACCACGAATCTTGATTTGAGACCACAAATCTTGGTTCCCAATCATGGCTGTTTTGCAATGTATAAACATAACAGCTAAACTAATAGAGAGTAAGAAGAATTCCACTTGAGTCGTAATGAAGTAATAAACAACGTTCTTATGAATCGTATAACAACTAAATACATTCCTTAATAACCCACTACGTATCATTAAATCCGAATCCTTTATAAACATTCATCTCGCATAACTTATGTTTGTAACCCTGAATTAGTTTGATCTCATGTTAGCCAAGTCTTCCCACATTTACAACAGTATCCATAATTTAAGTTAAACCAGTACTATATTGTATAGAAATAGCGACCTTGAAGATAATACCATATAGTATTATTTTTATAATGTCTTTGATATCCCTATAACCAGTGTTTTCACTTGGCTTGGCCAGCCAATGGCCAAAAAATTTTTTTGGCTGATTCGGCCAATAACATAAAATAAAATAATGTATATCAATAGTAAATAAAACTTGAGTGGCGTAAGTTGTTGACTAACAGATTATATTAGTATCTGGCTAATACGTAACAAGAATTAGATTCTAATGTATTATAAACATTCATTCTCTCTATAAAGACAATATACAACAGGCCGCTATTATGATCAATTTACTAATTTTATTATGTTAGTTACCTTTATACATATAACTGGTCCAAATATTAAATTTTTTTTAGGCAGCTGTTATTCGTACCCCCATGTACTGCATATCAAAATTTTTTAAACTTTGAGCGATGTTATTTTGACAGCCACTACGTTAATTTTAATAAATATTTTTTTTATTTGAATTCTACGAATCTGTAGAATTCAAATAAATAAATAAATAAAAATCCATCGAATTTAACTTGGTGGGTGTTGAGATATCTTCACTCAAAGTTTAAAAAAAAATCCAAACCGTCTATCAAAATAAAAGCTGTGATTAAAACACCCACCAAGCCAAATTATGAACTTTTTTTTATTTGACTTCTTGTATTTGTAGAATTTAAAAAAAAAGCGTTCATTGAATTTGGCCTGATAGTCGAGATATCTTCACTAAAAGATTAAAAAAATTCAAAACGTCTATCAAAAAGAAGAGCTACGCCAAACTTTTTTTTAAACTTTGAGCGAAGATATCTCGACACCCACCAAGCCAAATTCGATGAACATTTTTT